ATTAAAAAGACTTTTGTTCACTGAATGGCTTATTTGTTGAACTTGATGCTTAAATTTGATTGATCACTCATTTTGAATGTGGTTTGGGTAAACGATGTCTAGTATATATAGAGGCTACAAAATTTATTATCAGTTTGGTTTTGTAGATGGATTTTTTAATTGTCAAGTGAATAAAACGAAGTGACTTGAGTTTGTTGGCATTCCCATGGTGAATGCAAGCGTTAGTCTTTTAAAAGGAAAAAAAGGCCATCTTGGCTAAAGAAATGGGATTAGGGTAAATGATTTTGAGTTATTGAAAGGTGTAACATATGAGTTTTTAATTTTAAGAAGATTTTTGTTCACGGAATGTCTTATTTGTTGAACTTGATGCTTAAATCTAGTTGATCACTCATTTTAAATGTGGTTTGGGTAAATGATGTCTAATATATTTAGAGGCTACAAAATTTATTATCAGTTATTTTTAGCGCATATAGTCCATATTTTTGGGTTGGAGAAGATTATGTTGCTGCCTATGGGTGAAAGTGACAGGTGATATGGAGGGGAAGAGGTCCATGTCTGGTCTGTAGAAAATCTAAAGGTGTTGTTAATGGAAAGAATTGTAAGTATTACACCATGTTAGGGGAGATAGTGCTAAGGAGAATAGTGGAGGAGGGAAGAGGTAGGAGAGATTGAATGAGATTGAGGTGGTGGACAGTCTTCTTATAAGCAGCACATTAAAAACACCATGTAAGGAGAGATAGTGCTAAGGAGAATAGTGGAGGAGGGAACAGGTAGGAGAGAGTGAATGAGATTGAGGTTGTGGACAGTCTTCTTATAAGCAGCACATTAAGATTACTTTGAGAAGGAAAGTCGTCTTATTAATGGGCTGTTGACCAGTGAATGTAAGAGAATATAGGCCATTATTTTGGGTTAGAGATGATAATGGTGCTGCTTATAAGTGAAAAAAACAGGTGATAGGGAAGGGGGAGTGGTCCATGTCCGGTTTGTAGAGAATCTAAAGGTGGTGTTGTTAATGGAAAGAATTGCAAGTACTACCAAGTAGGGGAGATAGTGCTAAGGAGAATAGTGGGGGAGGGGGAGGGGGCCTACTTCTACATTTCTAGA